ATTATTCCTGTACCCAAGATTTGTGGATCTGTTTTGCAGTGTTACCTGGGAACTCCACTGTAGATTCCATTTGTACTTTTTAGGAACTTTCTGTAAGATTAACTTCTGAAACTGCCACAACAAATATCAGATTTCCTTAGCTCCTTTACAACGTGCTTGACAACAATAGGAGAAATGGTCCTTATTTACTTACATGCCTTAAGGGAAATTAACGCATGTTTGTAAAAACAGACTCGGGTTGCAATGCACGATATCTCTTAACCTCTACAGGTTCAAGGTCACAAGGTCAAGGGTTGTAACAAAGAGGTCAAGGGGGACACACTGGGGGTGGGAGTGTTGTGCATCTGGGGGGACTACCTCCCACCCCGGGTGTTCTCACACCCTCCCCCTAACTAGACACACACACTTGACAAGTCTCCTGCTTTGTCCTTGAATCCAACATCGTCATGTATGTCAAGTCCGAGTCATGCCATGTCATTGCAGAGTCTCTAGGAATAACCATGTATTGCACCCAGCACATTCCACAATCCGTTGCAGTTTGTACCAATTACCCAAGACAATTCTCTTTTCAAAATTTTAAATTGAAAAACTACAAGAATGTTGAAGGAATCTGAACTGATTACCAAGGGAACACATGGAGAAGAAGACTACCAAAACCACATGCAAGCCTTTCTGTTGTTGTGTCACATTCAATACAGGTGATACATCTACGTATACACCTCCCAGTCTGTAGGGATAAATGACAATAAATCTTAACACCCACTTATGGCTTCTAAATATATCATGCCCGTTTTTGATGCATGTCAATATGATCCTGCTCAAGTGATTTGAAGTTACTTTTTTTTATAAAATGCATGTTTTTTACAAATGTCTTAATGTGGGAAAGAATATAGACACAAAAAATACGATATCAAATGTCTCCTAATAATCTCAAAACAAATAGGAGAAAAAAGATAAAATATATTTTCGACGAATGTGTGGAATAGCCCCAGTGTGTTCTCTGTGAGACCCGTCATCTTGCTTCTAATACACATCTCAGTATAGCCCCAGTGTGTTCTCTGTGAGACCCGTCATCTTGCTTCTAATACACATCTCAGTATAACCCTAGTGTGTTCTCTGTGAGACCTGTCATCTTGCTTTTAATACACATCTCAGTATAACCCCAGTGTGTTCTCTGTGAGACCCGTCATCTTGCTTCTAATACACATCTCAGTATAGCCCCAGTGTGAGACCTGTCATCTTGCTTCTAATACACATCTCAGTATAACCCCAGTGTGTTCTCTGTGAGACCGTCATCTTGCTTCTAATACACATCTCAGTATAACCCTAGTGTGTTCTCTGTGGGACCGTCATCTTGCTTCTAATACACATCTCAGTATAACCCCAGTGTGTTCTCTGTGAGACCTGTCATCTTGCTATTAATACACATCTAAGTATAACCCCAGTGTGTTCTCTGTGAGACCCGTCATCTTGCTTCTAATACACATCTCAGTATAACCCCAGTGTGTTCTCTGTGAGACCTGTCATCTTGCTTTTAATACACATCTCAGTATAACCTCAGTGTGTTCTCTGTGAGACCCGTCATCTTGCTTCTAATTCACATCTCAGTATAGCCCCAGTGTGTTCTCTGTGAGACCTGTCATCTTGCTTCTAATACACATCTCAGTATCGTCCCAGTGTGTTCTCTGTGAGACCGTCATCTTGCTTCTAATTCACATCTCAGTATAACCCAAGTGTGTTCTCTGTGAGATCTGTCATCTTGCTTCTAATACACATCTCAGTATAACCCCAGTGTGTTCTCTGTGAGACCGTCATCTTGCTTCTAATACACATCTCAGTATAGCCCCAGTGTGTTCTCTGTGAGACCTGTCATCTTGCTTCTAATACACATCTCAGTATAACCCCAGTGTGTTCTCTGTGAGACCCGTCATCTTGCTTCTAATACACATCTCAGTATAGCCCCAGTGTGTTCTCTGTGAGACCTGTCATCTTGCTTCTAATACACATCTCAGTATAACCCCAGTGTGTTCTCTGTGAGACCTGTCATCTTGCTTCTAATACACATCTCAGTATAACCCCAGTGTGTTCTCTGTGAGACCCGTCATCTTGCTTCTAATACACATTTCAGTATAGCCCCAGTGTGTTCTCTGTGAGACCTGTCATCTTGCTTCTAATACACATCTCAGTATAACCCCAGTGTGTTCTCTGTGGGACCCGTCATCTTGCTTCTAATACACATTTCAGTATAGCCCCAGTGTGTTCTCTGTGAGACCTGTCATCTTGCTTCTAATACACATCTCAGTATAGTCCCAGTTCATCACAGGACAACAATGACTGCCAACACTAGACGGCCGCCACCATCTGGTGTTTGCACTAGGCACCACTTTGTCCCCAGACTTGGGGAGTACGACCAGTGTGACAGATTCTCTACATTAATTTTCATTAGTGGTCTGCACTTGTCAGCACTTCCCCATCCTGGGGAGTGACGGAGTGCTTCACATCATCTGGGATAAACTTTGATCTACTCACATGAAAAACATGGCGACCTCTGACCTGGTATGAAGTAATTATCACCATATCACCGACGTAATCGCAGTACATGGAAGCGAGCATACCATGCTGATATGAGGGAATGGAGTCCTGCACTGCAGATACCAACCCACTTCCTCACACTTTCAAACAAGGAAACAGAAAGTTGTAGTTTCCAAACCACTTTGAACGTTCACTGAAGAACCTGTCTAATTATACAGATCACTGATGGGTTTTACAAGATGATATTCCTGGATTTGTCAGCGCCATTGACAACACTTAGTCAATGAAAACATGCCTTAAAAATTTATTTTTTTTTTCCTCGAATTTCTTTTTCCTCTTCTGCTGTGAATCAAGCAAAGACTTGGTTAGTTTGATCTAGACTTGCTAGGCTTTTAGTAAAAAAAAATACCCCAAAATTATAAATTCCAGTCATGATGCAGGACGAGGATGGAGGCCTGCAGCTCCAGTTCCAAGCCGGTCTGGTCTGTCGATGATGGAGTGACCGAAGAGTGAGTACTATCAGCTCCATAGACACCTTGGTTTCACCAAGTTTGAAACGTCAACCCTATAAGTGACTCCGGGTTTTACTGACACATGTTGTCATACAACTGCAATACTGCTCAAAACCTCAATGAACTAACTCAGTCTATGTATATATGACGTTTTCTAATGGTAAATATGGAAATAGGACTGTGACTGATAAAAGTATCTGAAAAAGAAACGATTACATAAATGTATACTACTCAAAAGAAGTTAAGGAACACCTGGGCCCACTTGCACAAAGCGATCTTAGCGCTAAGATGATCAGAGCTCCCATACTTTAACATAGGCTTACGATATCGATAGCCTTAGTGCTAAGATTCCTTTGTGCAAGTGGGCCCTGATCTTTCACGTGACTGTAGTCAGTATGTCATGGCGTGACAGAGTAACTCTAGCCATATGAAGGAATTGGGTGTTCTTTGACTTCTATACAGTATATATGCTGTATTAAGTTAACCTCATCTGGATTGAATCACGTAGCGCTAAGTAAGATGCTGGTGCTATGCAACAACATCAGTTCTAATATGGATGGTTAGGACTGAATGATGACGACAAATTAATACGATTTCTAAATGTTGAATCTTCGATCATAATCTAACTTGTGAATGTTGAATGAAAAATATAGACGTTGAATGCTAATGCTAAATAGTAATAACGGATGAATGATGATCAAACATTGAATGCTAAGTCTGAACACAAAATGGTTGATTTGAATGTTGAATGTAATTATCGAACACAGAAATCTAAATGAAAGCAGTTATTAAAACATTGAATATTGATAAACACACAGCTTCTGGGACCCCCAAACTTTCATAATCATGGAATATGAGACAGATACGATGATATGATAATATGATGGTAATACCCGCTCACTTGAGATACCTCAAGATGTGGCACAAGTTTATCTTAATCCTTTCAAAATGAGTTCCAATATGTCATCTTTGCTTGCCACAGCTAAGACTTGAGAGTAGTATCCTATTTGATAACGTCCTATCGCCAGATGGAGAAGCTAGCCCTACCAGGTTAAACATCCTAAATTCTCCTGATGTGATAATGGCAAACCCTTAACTGGTAGCGGCGCTGGAACCATGATGTATCATCCACTAGACTGGGTAGTAAATAAGCACAAACATATTACAGAAAGCATTACCCTGGGCCATCAAAAGACTTATCCTGTAAGTAATACATACATCATACTCTATCTGACGAGAGGGCTTCAAGGGGAGATAATCACACATAAATAGTGAAACTCCTTCACTGAAGCTGACACAACAAAACACAACTATCTACAGTTCTAGGATCTGTAATAAGGGGAAATATCTTCACAAGCAATTTTTTTTTTTCCTTGAAAATAACTTATTTCATTCCCAGTAATTCTTTGTGCACATGATGTAGTGATTTACATATCCATCAATTGTTTCATCACACATTGATGAGGATTTAAAAAAATGAATAAAAAATTCAATTCTCTTTTTCATGTCTTCCAAATCTTCCCTTCATGTTTTCTTTTACAGTTATATTTCTCTTATATTACCGTATTCGACGTAATAAGCGCCCTGCTCTAATAAGCGCCCACGGTGATATTTGCTAATATATTGGTTAGTGAACAATCCCAATTAGCACCCCTCTGATTGATTAATGTACACAAGACTTATTTTTGGGTGAAATACGCACTCGTGTGTTATATGCACCCTTAATTATAGGCAATTAAATTCTGGAAAAATATATCTGTCGTGTAACATTTCAGGCTGTCAGCATATACCAGGAAATTGATCTTTCAACTATTTTTTTCACCAAAATAATATTCTAATAAGACAACCCTATTTCTAATTTTGAGAGTGCCCTGGGCGCTTATTACGTCGAATACTGTACCTGAAAAACAAAAGGTTAGTTTCACCAAACACTATCATGCCATGCTGTGCACTTACGAATGCAGGTACGGCCGTCAGCGTGTAACCTTTGACCTTTGGGGCATTCACAGCTGAAGCCTCCCTTAGTATTGAGACACTTATGTTGACATCCACCGTTATGGTTAGCACATTCATCGATGTCTGAAACCGTTACACAGGTATACGGATACATACAGATATAGACATAGATATATACCGATATATACGGATATATAAATATATATATATTAGGGCTGGGACGGGTAACTTGGGTACCCGGGTCGGGTGGGTACTGAGTAGGACCCGGGTACCCACAGGTCTACCTGTGATATATTGTTTAATGACAAAAATTATCTAGAACTCTATGGTTACACTACAAGTCACAAATGTTCGCATTTCTTTCTGACTATGCACCCATTCCTTCTGATTTTTCATATGGTTGAATAAAATAAAACTCATAAATAATTCAAATTGAGTGTATGAATGACCAGATTGTTAAATACATGTGTCTAAATACGTTTTGCCAGGGCTATGCTAAAAATGTTCCCGATCGGACGTTTTGAGACATCTCCTGAGACCTACAGTGGGTACCCGGGTAGGGTTGGGTGATAGGGGGGTGGGTACCCGGGTAGTAAATTTGGACTCATCCCAGCCCTGATATATATATATATATATATACATACAGATATATACACAGGTATATTTGTGAGTGAGTTAGTCCGATTTCACCCACACTCAGCAATACTAGAGCTGAATCCTGGAGGCTTAATTCAGCCAGATGCTTTGTTTGTTTATTTGTTTGTTTGTTGTTTAACACCGCACTCAGCAATATTCCAGCTATATAACAGTGGTCTGTATAAATAATCGAGTCTGGACCCGACAATCCAGGGACTGACATCATGAGCATCAATCCACACAAGTGGGATACGATAACATGCATGAACAAAGTCAGCGATCCTGACAATCCGATCCCGTTAGTCGCCTCTTATGATAAGCATAGTCGCCTCTTACGGCAAGCATGGGTTGCTGAAGACTTATTCTAACCCGGATCTTCATGGGTCTCAGCCAGATGCAGTAAACCAATGGTCAACAGTGCAATAAAAGATATTGTCAAGTACGATGACCAAACACCAGTGGTTAACGTTGTGAGCATCAATATTTTACAAGGGTGTTATTAAACAAAGAATTACAAAGAAATGTGATGAACCATCCACCGGAGATTGTTGCTTGGTTCCTTGAGTTGCCATTTATCACATGACATCTCTACAACAGACATGTCCCTCGCCCTCCTTGGTCACAATATGGCTGGAATATTGCCGATGTGACATTAAATATTAATTCCCTTATTCTGGACAGACTCATGGAACAGACTGTTACAGGTAACATGGAAACCGTTATCCTATATCTGTTATCCGTAACCCCACATCAACCATGCTATACGTCAGTTATCCAATATAAAGGTGAAAAGTCACATGACCTACCTTGACATTGCTTTCCCTCTGAGTTGAGTTCGAAGCCCCGGGGACATTTGCACTGGTAGGAGCCGATGGTGTTGCTGCAGTCACTCTGACAGCCGCCGTTGTTGATGCTGCACTCGTTGACATCTGCAACATGAACAAAAACAGACATGTCAATGCTGAGTCTAATGACGCGACACAAGGTTCTGTAGCTCACCTTACCCTGACATGGAACACAAGAGAGACTTTCAACCAGTTCTTGGGTTACACAAGATAGCTCACCTAACCCTGACATGGAACACAAGAGAGACCTTCTGCCAGTTCTGGGGTTACACAAGATAGCTCACCTAACCCTATATATATGTGTGTGTACTTGTATCAGATGTGTGTGTTTCAAATAAATGTGTGTGTTTGAAATAGATGTGTGTGTTTCAAATAAATGTGTGTGTTTGAAACAGATGTGTGTGTTTCAAATAAATGAGCCTGGTTGTAACAGATGTGTTTGTTTTGTTTGTTTGTTTGTTTGTTGTTTAATGCCGCACTCAGCAATATTCCAGCTATATGAAGGTGGTGATCATCTGGCCCAGGCTTTATTATTTACCATCATCATACAGTTGGAATAACAAACAACAAACACAAACACAAACACAAACACAAACACAAACACAGAATGAGATTACAGTGTTGAAAGTCTTTAATCAAGATGTCGTGTTACTCGGAATGAAGGGTGGTGGTCATGTTTTCAACAGTGCACCACAACACAAGACCAACGTGTCCCGGACCCGTGAAGATTCCGGGGTAGAATAGGTCTTCAGCAACCCATACTTGCCGTAAAAGGCGACTATGCTTGTCGTAAAAGGCGACTAACGGGATCGGGTGGTCAGGCTCGCTGACTTGGTTGACACATGTCATCGATCCCAATCGCGTGGATCGATGCACATGATGTCAATCACTGGATTGTCTGGTCCAGACTCGATTATTTTACAGACCGCTGTCATATAGCTGGAATATTGCTGAGTGCGGCGTTAAACAACAAACAAACAAACAAACAATGTGTCCCGGCATGAAACCCTGCACCATATACTCTCACAGATTTCTACTCTAACATGTACAACTGATCCCATTAATCTCCTGTTGCTGACTACATACATATCTCATTCAGACATGTTTGATGACAATAGATGTGCAACCCTGTGACAATTGATGTTTTCTTTCATGTTTTGACAAATACCCAGTGTCAACTGCCAGTTCTGTAAACACCACCTGTGCTTGACCACCTGGGCTGACCCCACAGAGCTAGTTCACCTTGCCTGACCCCTCAAACAGGCAGGGAGGAGACAGTAGGGAGGAAATGCTAGTTCACATTGTCTGACCCCTCAAAACAGGGAGGGAGAAGGCACTGGTTCACCTTGCCTGTCCCCTCAAACCAGGGAGGGAGGAGATGCTAGTTCACTTTGTCTGACCCCTCAAGACAGGGAGAGAGAAGGCACTGGTTCACCATGGCTCACCCATCAAACCAAGGAGGGAGGAGACAGAGGTTCACCTTGCCTGACCCCACCAGCTGTGATGGCAGATAGAAGGACAGTGTACTTCCTGGGTTCATCACGCTATACCACATTGAAACTATTAGACCTTCGGGCCACAACTTTAAACACCTGCCTTGTGATGTGTCCTGATGACCAGTTACTGTCCCCAAGGTGGAAAAGGGTGGGGACAGTCGACTACCTTGCCTGACCCTGCCAGTTTCAGGAGGGAGGCAGGTGTGGACAGCAGTTCCCACTGTCTGACCCCTCTCCAGCAGGGGGAGGGACCATATTGAAACTATTAGCCGATCTGGCCATAATTGTAGACAAACGCTTTGTGATGTGATTACTGATGACCAATTACTGACCACTTTATGACCATAACTTGTTAACTAGTGGCATGTGTTGTGATTAGGGCAGTCCACATGGTGATTCATGAGATTCATGGCATTACTAGGGTCATTAGGGCTATTCAACACATGAAGCCTGTGAGAGGTCAAGACCTGATCGTATGATCTGATTGGTCAGCAGATGTCGGTGACCAGTGGACAGTACTTGGTGGTCAACTCACGATGGTTATTAATTGGTTGATAAGACAATTATTGCCGGGAACATGCTCCATCGCTCTTAATCATCTAAACAGGAGATTACCACTACCATACCACCACGGCTAGGATAAACTGGCTATATTACATGGAGCACTGCATACTACGGCTCTATTACTTGGAGCACTACATACTACAGCTCTATTACTTGGAGCACTACATACTACGGCTCTTTTACTTGGAGCACTACACACTACGACTCTATTGCTTGGAGCACTACATACTACGGCTCTATTACTTGGAGCACTACATACTACGGCTCTGTTGCTTGGAGCACTACATACTACGGCTCTATTACTTGGAGCACTACATACTACGGCTCTATTACTTGGAGCACTACACACTACGGCTCTATTACTTGGAGCACTACATACTACGGCTCTATTACTTGGAGCACTGCATACTACAGCTCTATTACTTGGAGCACTACATACTACGGCTCTATTACTTGGAGCACTGCATACTACAGCTCTATTACTTGGAGCACTACATACTACGGCTCTATTGCTTGGAGCACTACATACTACGGCTCTATAACTTGGAGCACTACATACTACGGCTCTATTACTTGGAGCACTACATACTACGGCTCTATTACTTGGAGCACTACATTCTACGGCTCTATTACCTGGAGCACTACATACTACGGCTCTATTACCTGGAGCACTACATACTACAGCTCTATTACTATTGGTAAGCACTTAAAATCAATAAATCCATTGTTAAATCAGTTTCCAATCAATAGTATTTAAGTTAGGAATATCGATAGTTTCGATTGTATTTACCACAGTTTTACAGTTTCAATAAAATACATGCAATGCTGTTCAAATTAGTTTTTTCATTTCATCATGAGTGGTAGTAACTTACAAATGGTAATGTGGAAGTTTCTTTTTCTTAAGTTATTAGAGTAAAGAAAAAACAAATCAGTCATATCTCAAACTTTACTTTTTATTTGTTGTTATGGTTATCACATTCAAACGAAAGTTCAGTTCCAAGGTTTAATTCAACTCTAAAATCCATCTAAATGATACACTGAAAACTTTCAATATTTATCGCAATAGTTGCTTGCAATATCAATAGTTATCGCAATAGTTTCTTTCAATATCAATAGTTATCGCAATAGTTTCTTTCAATATCAATAGTTATCGCAATAGTGATTTCCAGACCAATAGTCACCCCTAGGCTCTATTACTTGGAGCACTACATGCTATGGCTCTATTATTTATGGTGTACCCTGCAGATGGAGGCAATAATTATATTATCTGAATTTGGCATCAGAGTAGTAATTAACTTGTATTGTAAATATTTTCCATACTGGACAAGAATCTAGGGGCCACTGATGGCCTGACGTGATGAAGGTCAGAGATGTCAACCACCTTCATGAAACATACGAACATGGTACAGACAAACCAAGACACATAATCAGGGTGAACTTTAGCAAGATAATAGACTAGAGCTGTTTGTGAAAGTCTCAAGCTTTGTTTGTATTATATTTCAGGAGATGGTTATTGTTTCCCTACAAGACCACTTGATAGACAGCAGCTCATGAAGACTAACATCTAGTCTTAGAAATGAAGACATTTGACAGAAAAAGACAGTTGGTAAATTATCTTAACAAAATATAATAAGAAGAAGCCAATATACTTTCTTCATTTTCAACTGCAGTAATCTAGACTTGTAAAATAGTATAGACTTGCATGGGCTGTTTTGGATATATTTGTTTTAGGATCTGTATGACAGACTACTGGTGGAATCATGGGCTGATCCCTTCTTGTCCTGTTTTGTAAGTCCAAGTGTTACAGAGCCACTCGGGTGTATTCAACTCAAGTTTTGTAACTCCAAGTACAGTGATGGAATGCCCTGATAGTGGTCCCTGACCAGTGTCACATAATCACCCAAGGCCAATGTCCAGCATACAGAGTGGACCATAAGTGACCAAACAAAAGCATCGGACTGTGCTATACTACACAATAGAAGTTAAAGAACACCTGATTATTCATATTACTATAATAAATCTGTCAAGTAATGTTCTTTAATTTCTATTGAGTGAGTGAGTGAGTGAGTGAGTGAGTGAGTGAGTGAGTGAGTGAGTGAGTGAGTAAGTGAGTGAGTTGGGTTTAGGGCACTATCACAGTTGTATCACGACATGTCAGTTTGACAGGGGAGGACAGTCGGCAGTGATATAGATCTGGTGTATTGATATATCCATTGGCTAATGGGGCTTTATCAAACAAACTGCAGATCCTGGTAGCTAAGGGAGACAACTCACATCATAGATGCCTGGGCTACTAGTTCCTCAAGATAGATCAGACTGGAATTCTTTTAACTTTCAAACCATTTTCTTCTTTATATATTCTGATATAAATCAAAGTTGAACAGAATTTTAAGTGCCATTGTTTTGTAAAATATATTCTGATACATGTACATACTAATGGATAATATTTCTGAGCAGATCTTTCATTGGTTTTGACAATTTTGTAAGCTCTGAATCTGGTCCCCCCAAAATAACACATCAGCATCATCAGTATCAGCAGCACTGAGACAGAGAGGAGTACAGATGGACTACTGTCCAGAAGAACCTACTTTTGGTGAAATGTTGACCATGGGGTGCCCATTTGTATAATGCCCTCTAGGCCAACTTCATCCCCACATACAATCTTCACAAAGTGCATGTAAATTAATGTTGAATCGGTGATTTATTTACATATTAAATAAAAACCACTAAATATAGAAAAACACTTTCTCCTCGTAAAGACAACATTAAAGTTTGTGTTTGTACTCTAAGTATACTTGGTGAACTTCTATGTTTATCTCCGTACAACATCAATATGCCGGTCATGAAATACCTGGAGTGGGTAGAATTACAGAATTAATGTCGGCATCAAGCTCATCTCAAACACATCCTAGATATTCATGAGTCATTTCAAAACATAGTTCCCGACAAGCTCACAAGTGACAGAGTAAGGGTACACTTGTATAGCGAGCCAAATAACCAACACTCCCTCCGGTCTCCCTGTCT